ACATCCAACATGGTGAAATTAAAGAAATATGAAATACCTTGAGATATGAAGTTTTTAGCATTTATAAAAATAAGCTCTTACATCTGCATTAGAGTCCTAACCATTTGGGCCTAAGCTCATATTTGCTCCTTAAACCTTCCCCCGTAAAGAAGATTGTTTCACAGGAATATCTAGAGCTATTTGTGTGACAAAGTCAAAATCTATGTTTTGAGACTATCCTCTCCTAACACTCCATTTCTTTTGCCGCTAAGAGCCAAATTGAATTCCACTAAATGATCTTTCCAGCTTCTCTCACTACCCACGAAAAATCTCTTATTAACTTCTCTTAAATGTCAATATTCTTCTCCGACATTATACATAAAGATATATCATAATTAGGTATATCGGACAAAACTAAGATGAAAAAAAGAAGTCATTCTTGACCAGAATAGACGTAACTCACACCGTGTTAAATAAGGGAATATGTTTTACTAGATCATGACTAGAATCTGATTTTTGAATTATAAATGACTAAATCATGAATTATAGGCACCTAGAACATGAATATTCTCATAATTGTGTGCTAAATCGTACTATTGAAAGTTGTAAATCATAAAACATTGAAATCATGACTGTTACAAGTCTAGTAATTGAATCATGCTTTTCTAATACTTTTGATTTGCTAATTTACCTTGCATTCCTTGTATAATGCTAATTGGGATCTAGCATTTCTATTAATATATACACAATCAATTTATAGACGTTATTAAATACTTCCTTGTTAGCTAATGACTTTAAAGTCATTAATTACTTCCTTGTCAACAGTAATTGAATCAAGCTTTTGTGATCCTTGAGATGTGTTTGGCATCTAACGATTGAACATATCACAAAAATATACGAACTGCCTATGGTAGTTAGTCATAATAGGTGGCACTAATTCCTTCGTAACTTCTTGCTTGTTGTGCTAAGACATGTTGCAACTAATTGTGCTATTTTGACCTCAGACTGTTTGGAAGGATACTGGAGCAATGTAGTTGACATTTTAACTTAGCAGGAAATGTTGTGGCCTTTATTCATTTAGTGGAAACTAAGGATAGAAAATGCTTTAGGGTAGACTTAAAGTGAGTTGAATTTGGTCTAGTAGAATAGGGTTGGGTTCACGTCCCAATATGGTCATACAAGTTCTGAAGTAGGAAGCTACTTCTTATAAAGAATGGTGGCATATGCTTGAAGTGTCATTGAGGCCTATCAATACCCTTGCAACAACTCAACTTGTCCTCGAGGTGAAATGTGCAAAGTGGAAAAAGGATTTCTAAAATACTGTACAGCCAAACAATCTCCTTCATGAGGCCACAACCAAGGTCAAACTAGATAAAGGAGAATTCTAGCCAAGAAAGTGGTTGTACTTACATAGTCGACCATTCGACGTACTATCACTAGTATGTTATCCATGAACTGGTTGCGCCCACCTACGAATTCCCAAATTATGAACTAGGCCAATTGCAAAATTGCAATAAAATTTTGGGTCGCTTCACAATCAAACAGGACAACTACATCAGGTTGCGCTCTCTCCCCCATAGCTTTCAGAGTATTGAGGTCCTAAGTAGGGTTTATCTCTCCTCTACGGCCACGGCCTCTTCTTCTGTCTCTTCGGTGCCAAATTCCTCCGCATCACCGTTTACGACCAACATTTGTAGCTCTTTAATTTTGCAATGATGCCCCACTGATTTTCTTTCACGCCAGAAACAAATTCTTACTTTTGAGTTCTGAATCCGTAATACGCTTATGAGTTATTATTATTATTTTTTTTTTCTGGTCTACGAATTTGGGAATGTATTGATTTTGGAATTTTGGGGAGTGGGCTTGAGTTAGGTGTAGCAACAGATTGTTTCGATTGTAGTTTGGCCTCAGTGAGGCATCGAAAGGTTCGTGGTGAATTGCAATTCAGAGATCTATTGGGATTCAATCTAGGTTCGAAGAGGTGTGGGTCACTACACACAGGTTATTAGAAATTAAACATCCCTGATCGCCCTTGGGCTTGTTTTAGTAGTGAGTGGCCTTCTATCCATTGGGCCATCTCCAAAACGCTATGCAAGCTCACTGGTTTTAACATATGAATGTTGGCCCTATTTTCAGGATTTAGTCCGTTGATATAATTCTCTTCCTTTCTGTTTGCATATATCTTAATTTTGTCCGCCCTTTTTTGCAATAGCAATGCTGGTTCAGAAATCTTCAGCAAAAGAGAAGCTGGGATTTCAAACATCTTCCCATCCTCTTTGGCAGTGTCTTCTTGTTTAAGTGAGAGGAACTTCTTCCAATTCGTGCCCTCGAGAATAACGATCTTCAAGTCTTCCCAAGTTTGCAGGGGTCGGCATCGATCTACCCAGTGAAGCCGTGTCAATGCTTCACATGTGAAGCAGATTGGGGCGGCCTCCACTTTTTCCCCTCCGAAACTGATTCAAGGCAAAATAACTCTCCGGACTAAACAGCCACCGATCTGAATCTTCACCATCAATCAGAGGAATTTTGCGTCAGCGGCCTGGGGAATCCATTCAGAGATTTTTCTCTTGATCTACCCTTCCAATCATAGCATCATCTGTTCCCAACATTCATAACGAGCCCAATCTCTCCTTCATTTCTGTTGTTTCCATTTACCCAGGTAAAAATGCTCTGTACCAATTTGATTGGAACCTAGATTCTGCAGACTGAATACCTAAGGTATTAGGCTGTTGGACCAATCATAAAAAATTGATTGTAAAACTGAAGAATGGAACAAGAATATCTATATTTTTTGTGTATTTCTGTAAGCCGAATTAAAAGAACAAATAAGAACTGAAAAGGAAACGAACTACAATTAAATGCTAAGCTTTTGAGAGGTTTAGTTTCTTTCCCAAACCCAGTACTAATTTTTCCATAATGAAATGAAAGCGCTACCCCTATTAATTCACTCAAAATTTATTCTATAGTTTTGATGATACCGTTAAACCCTTAGTAGAATACAACTGCACTACTGATTTCTTTAATATACCGTTCCTCTGCTCTCTTGATTACCAGCCTTGCCTCCAAATTTCATCTTTCATCGTGCGTATATGAAGTGTAGTCGGTGCTATAACTTCATGAATGAAAAGAAAGGTAAACAACATGTTTATTATGTATCACTCAAGATTCTGTAGCTGTTTCCTGAGAGTCAACTATAGCACTAGTGCATGTATAAATTTTGTAGGCAGACTATCCTTCCCTCTTGTTTAGAAAAATCTACACCTGCCTAGATCTGGGAAATATTTCTACATATAGAAGCTGTTATTCAAACAGCTACTATCATCTCCTGTAATAATTCTAAAACTAGATTACTGTGATCATTAAACTCATATTATTTCTATTTTCTTCTGATGCCATAAATAGCAGATAAACTAAGTTCCTGGAGTCAAGTGGTCAAGCATCCCCCCTTTAACATATTTTTATCATGAAATAGATCAAGTTAGCACTGATGTCTGTTATTCAGCTTAATGATGAAAAGTTGGGTAACAGGTCCGATTGGTCACTGGACTCATAGGCGGGTTTCAGTTTGGGTCGTTAAACTTTCCGAATTAGTTTGTCCAACTTTAAGATCTGTTTCATGTTAGTCATTGAATTTCAATTTTTTACACATTAGTTACCTAACTAAATTTTTTTTTTTGTATTGGCTACTATGTTGGTCTCCTTGCAACTCAAAAATTGTCTGCCCGAGTAAGTATCAATCCGAGAATTTTGTAAGGTGTCCTCCCTCCAATATGAAAAAAAGTATGGTTGTTTGACACATCAAATTTATCACTAATATTAATTCTAAAATGGAGACTAGTTTAGTGACTAATGTGAAACAAAACTTTTAGTCCAGTGATTAATTTGGAACAAAATATAGTTTAATGGTCAATATGAAACAAAACTTAAAGTTGGATGACTGTTTTGGAACAAATTAAAGTTGAATGACAAAATTGAAACTAACCTTGATTGAAGGATGTAATTATGCTTGCTCGTTGGAAATAGCTAGGTCTTTGTTTAGCTTCTTTTGCTTATATCTTGGCTTTGATAGGTGTATACTATATATGTTTTAAATGTTTAACATCAGAAATCCAGGGTTCCAAATTGTTTAGTGGGAAGATGTAATGTATATTTAGTTTTCTTGCTTGGTTTTAGTTTTCACGTTTTCAAATAAGTTCCTGGGAAACTTGTCTGGTCATGAGATTATACATTTTGATGAAATATGTACCTTCAAGAGTGATAAAAACTGAAATAACCATAAGCATGAACTTGGGGCTGGTTTGGGAAACCATTCTCAAGTTTGTAAACATGAATATCTAAGTTCACAGCTAATATCATTCTGTTTTGGGAGGAGCTTTAGTCTACAATGCAATGCCCCAACAACTTTTGTAGCTTTGCTAGCACGTATTATCTATTGAGATTCTCTGTAACCTAAAAAGTTAAATTCACCAGACCATTTTTCATGGGTACTTCATATTTAGTTTCAAGTTTTGCATCCATGTAGCATAAGTTTCCACTATCAACTCGTTCAATATAGCATAATGTTGGAAATAGTAGTACAAATGAGTTCCCCTTTGATGAGTTATTACTGATGGCCAAAAATGCGTGACCCATCTCAAAAGAAATTCGAAGCATAATATGTCTAGTGACAATATTTGATATCATCAATAAGAAGACCTTTAAGCTTGTTATCCATGGACTTGTTTAGAAATACTGTAATGAAAAGAACATAGGAGTTTGTCGCTAGGTATTTGACCAAATAGGATCGTCCCGTTCTTATAGAACCTATCACTAAAATCCCCCCTAGAGGGTGATAAGGCTAAGCGGAGCAAAAAGGGGTTTCCCATCTTTAATTTTACATTTTAAGTTGTCCTTTGAACATTTGTCAAATTCTCATTTTCACTGTATCCAATGAGTTGCTGGTTTATGTATTCGTTTGAATTAGTTATTTGTTCCAATTTATGGATTGAGGATATTTCTTTCCAGGATATTAGTAAGCTTCAATGGACAATGACTTGGACATGGATCAGCAGGTTACATCAGGTCGTCTGAAGGGAATAATTTTCAATATTTTATCTGAGGAAGATGCAGTAAGTATTAATTGTCTTTGTTGACACACGTGCACACTGTTCACTCATTCTGCCCTTGTGTGATATCATTCAACAAGTGCGTAGATATTTCTAAAATTGGTTGGGAATGGGGCGCACTCCAGTGTCTTTATTTGTGTTTATTTTTTAGGCCTTTTTTATAATTAATACCCTACAAAACAGGATTTTATCTTATGAACAAAACATTTCCTTGTGCTCATGAAAGAAATTGCCGAGGCTGATTGTGTACATCCAATTATTTCTTAAGCCAATGTAACATGTCTCATGGAAAAATGTAGTTAAATAGTCAACTAGGTAAAAGTAATTAACTTCGTCCAATCTTGAGATCCTAGAAATCTAGGCTACATGAGAAAGCCGTAACTAATCTAGTGGGTCTATTCTTCTCAGAATCCTTTTCAAGCGTGTACGCACTCAGTAATTTTATCTCTTTGCTGTATATTCTGATCCTTGCTTTTCTAAAATCCTGCACTACTTTTATGCACGCGTGATATTTATATTATCAGTGAGAATCAAGTGTATTATTATTGTTATTGTGAGATGGAGCCTGCCACATTAATGAACTCAATGTTAATTTATGCTGCATTTCTAGAGCAAGATATCAGCCACCGTCGTTGGAGCTGTCAATGAAGTCTCAGATCCTGCATTGGGATTGCCCAATCCAAATTCTAATGAATGTCTTACATGTGGTGCTAAACGTAATAGAGAGTGTGAAGGTACAGTCTGAGCGTAAGGATTGACATGCCACTTTGTGATCTCTCTCTCTCCTCCTTTCCCAAATGCTTTGCTTTGAAGTTTGCCTCATTTTATTTCTTCATTTTTTTCAGGTCATTTTGGGTTGATCAACTTGCCATATACAATTCTCAATCCATATTTCATGTCTGAAGTTGCACAGATTCTTAATAAAATCTGTCCGGGCTGTAAATTTCTTAGGCGCTATAAGGTCAAGGTCAGGTACCATGCTCTCACGTACTGAAATTAAGGTTGCTGAAGTGAGACGAAAATTTTCATTTCTCTCTTATTGTGTGATAATATACATAATGATGCAGCGAGAAATAGGGGAAGAACACGGATTGAAGCTCGTTGATTCCAATGGAATACTGAGAATCAACCAATTAACACTCATCCGATTCAACTGTGTACTGAGATCTGATTGAAATCAAGATCTCGTTGATTCTAAGCGAATATCAAGGATTGATTTTGATCAACAAATATGTTGATTCAAACTTGATACTGACTTTGAGTTGGAAGTGATTTGGAAGAAACTCCAGAGTCTTCAATTTTTATTCAACAAACAACCAAATTACAATGAAATCTTGATTCCCTATTTAAACAAGAAAAACCGTGACTAATTTTCTAGACCGATACAAACTCTAGGAACTTAATCTTATTAAATAGAACTCCTTTAAATTTTGAACTTAAAATATCTCTCAATAAATGAATAAGTTAAGTAAATTAAATAAATGAGTACATAATTTCTACCAGAATTAAAAAAATTTCCTTTTTACTGCCTAAATGTCGAAGTGTGGCCCAAATCCATCGGACTTAAGTGTTTTACCCAGTGATTTCTGTTTAGAGGCCCGTTTCTGCTTGGAATACTGGAATTTTTCATTTAATTCCGACACTTTTGACTGAAACTGGGTCAAATTATCTGATTGTATCACATAATGTATGCATTTCGCATTTGATTTATTCCAACCTTTTGATATTCCCTACTGTGAACCTCTTGCATGACAGTCTGCACAAGCTGTTTCATGTTTAAGTAATCAAGTTGGGTTAATGGCGCTAGTTCTTCATCGTCAAGGGCGCATCTGCTCATGGTTACTTTGGACCATTTAGTGTTTTAATAGAAGGGTGACGTCAAGACTTTGTGGTAAAGCATTTCTACCAATTAACTGTTATTATCCATTTGGGAGAATCAGGCTGGCTCCGTTTCATAGCTGACAATAACACGAATCACATATTAACAAAATTTGGAATGTTTGATGGGGGGTTCTGTAAATTTAGTATTCAGTTTGCGGCAATCTGATTAGTTAATAAGAATAAGAATATGTTCAAGGGAAGGTGGTTCCTAAATATTGTTGTTTCACACAATAGTCTGAATTGGGTGGTGTCATATGTTGAGAAGTGAGAACTTTCTCTTCAGGTATTGTTCATGCACAGAAGTGGAGATTCATCCTCTGTGTGAATTTTCAGTTCTGCCAATCACAATCAACTTGGGGGGGTGGCAATTATGTGGTCTAATATAATATAGTCTTACTGTAACTGAAAAGATTATACAATCTCAAAACTTTTCATTAGAATAAAGAGAACAAGATGGATAGTAACGAATTCTCACTGGATATGGTGGTAATATTGGACAGTATATGAAATCTACCATTATGTTGAAGGTAATTCATTTAGAAACATCATATATTTGCCTGTATATTTGTTGAATTTTCTTCTGTTGGAGCGTAGATTGTTGTACTTCTGGTCATGTTTCTTCATCAATGTTTTAAACTATTTTCATATTATTTTATGTCGCTAAATGATGCACTACACGACATTCTTTTGTTGAACTATCAACTCTTTATTCCTTTATTTTATTTCTATTCTTTGCAGAATGATAATACTTTTCTTATGTTTATGCATGCAACAGAAAGCTGATTCTGCATCAATTCATCATCAGCCTAGGAATTGCAAGTACTGTACTGTAAGTTCCTTTGGCAGTTAATATGTGCTTTTACCACGTGTTACCAAACTTATATTCCATCCGGAAAACAGGGAAGACTGAGAGACCGTTACCCACCAATGAAATTTAGAGTATCTTCCAAAGACATGTTTGCAAAGACGGCAATTGTTGCAGAGGTCAATGAAAAGTTCATAAATAACAGCTCTGGAAAAGTTTTGGCTTCTGACTATTGGGATGTCATCCCTCAAGAATCAAGCCCAGAAGAGAGCTCCTTGCAATCAAACATAAGAGTTCTATCACATGCCCAGGTACCATTCCCCATTTTCATTTCTAGTTGAGTGGATGTATCGATCTCTCTTACCTCTTCTTTTTGTTTATAAATTTTATTAATCAAAAGAGAATATGCAGGAAATGTATTATCAATTTAAGCAAGAAAGAAACAACATGAAATTAGGCGGCCCTTCTATAGGATTAGTATCCACGGCATCAAATCAAGTATATAAAGTCATATAAAATAGTTCTCTAATTTGCTCTATCGTCTGTGTTTGATCTTCAAAACAACGGATGTTCCTTTTTGTCCACACACACCGTACAATGCATCCTGTGATAAGATTCCGTACACGTTTGCTATTCTTATCAAGAAGTTTTCTCTTCCATGCTTGCAACACGTCCTCTACGTCTTGGCAACACCCAATCCATATGTTGAGAAGTCAGAATACTGTTCCATAGCCAACAAATACTATCACAATGAATGAACAAGTGGTCATTCGTCTCCCCATCCCCCTTACGCATATAACACCACTCGGTTACATAAAACTTTTTCTCGAAGATTATCAACTGTTAACACCTGTCCATAGTAAAAATAAATGCCACCCGTGGAGGCAATTATCTTCTAGTGGAATGAACTCTCCACGTATCGCAAAAGGGATTTAAAATAAGTGCAAACCGAAAAAATATCATCTTGTGCCAATTTCCACCTGCTACAATCACCCTCTCCTACCTGGATTTGCACCTCTTCTTTTTGTTTAGTTGCTTTATGATCTATACATTTCAATAGGTGCACTTGTTGGTTTTTTGTTCTTTCAATTATTTCTCATTGCTGTCACACTTGTAATATAGTTTTTCTGTTTTGTATTGCTCTGAAACTGCCACAATGAATTCCTTTACCCTAGGTATGCCTTTTCTTTAGCTATGATGTCCTTTCTTCAAAAAGCACCTGCTACAATGATATGATCAACTGAAAGTCATGTATGTGAACGCAGCCATTACATAATTTTTACTGACAACATGAATGTGAAATTTCTTATTTTTATATGGTGGATGCTGAAATTTTTTGTCAATGAAGTCCATAGATAGAACGTTATTTTTTCTGTTGATTTATACGGAAACAAGGTTTCTTAAAATGGTGGATCCTGATTACTTCTAATTAGTTAGGTCTTCTGATATTATGTTTACATCCAATAGGTAGCTTAAACCAATCCTGTCCTGGTCTCTGTGCTGTCTGTCATATGCTTCTAGCTTAGAAGTGTTCATATCTATTCTTAACTTGTTTTAAACTAAACTATATCCTTTTTTATTGTTGTATTTATGTGACATTTTCTTGTCCAGACACTTCCTATATTTTCAATAATAAGATATTTCCAGAATGTTATTCTTTAGATTGCATGGTTTTAATTTTTTTTTATCCATTTTTCCTTTTATGGCAAAATCTGTCAGCATCAAAAGTAAGGAATGTGAATGGAACTAAAATGGGAGCACAACTGCTAAATATTGGTATTAGAGTTAGTTATAATTGTATTTCTGTGATAATTAATTACAAGCAAGCAAAATGTGTGCTACCCTTGTGGAACGTATCTATACAAGAATGCAAAATTGATGTTTTGTCTTCAATTTAGTCAAGTAAATTATTAGAATAAAGTTAAATAGAGGTTAAATTTGATCATTGAACTTATTTTTGTTTTACTTAAATTAAATCAATATGTCCTTGTGTCATCAACGTGTGAAAATTGTGTGGCAAAGAATGGTCGGAGTATGATAATTTATACAAGTCAAATAGTTAGGGCGTCTGGAGTATTCTTTCTGTGTAGTTTTTTCGGTTAGGTGTAGGAGATGAAGGAAGCTTTAATCACATGCCTATAAGTAGGAGATGAAGGAATGTTAAATCTCATTTATAAATTACAGAAAAATTGTACATTAAATTGTCTGTGCAGAGAACATCAATAGATAATTTTACAAGAATATTTTCTTGTAGTCATAATTTTTAGTTAATAGTAACAGATAGCAATAGCTGCTTAAAAGAATAAGCTTCTTGTAAGTTGACAACGCCCACGAAATATGAAGTGAAGGCATATCAATCTTCACTAATAGAAAAAAAATAAAAATACTGTCTTTAGCTGCTAGAGTTGAATTACTCGTTTAAGGCTGGTGTTTTGCTGAGTGCAATAATTATTTTTTGTACTGCATCCCAATGAACACTTAACTTTCTTGTTGAATTTATGGGATTTCTGCAGTAGCATTATTCCTTTTAGGTATGCTATGTGGCTACCACATGGTTTATTTGGATTGGGAGGAATAACAGAATTTTTTATGATAGCTATCTTTCTATCTCATTTGCTGTGGATGGTTTGATTTCATGTTCTCTACATGGGTATGAGAGCTTAGGGATCAGAGGAACTTTTTGATTGATTAGTTTCTATTTCTCACTACTGTAGTTGAAGGATCCTTGTCCTCTAACTTGGGCTTTTAATTCCTAATTTTATAATTTTCCAATACATACTTCGATTTCTTTCCGGATCAGATTCTCTTATTAATCAGAACATTCTGTCTAGAAAGGCATTAGAGGAATCAGCGTATTCTATCTGTTCTTGTTCGAACGAAGTAAGGATCCAAAAGAACTGATCTTTCTTGTTGTTTTTAATCTTGCTAATCCAGAACTCTTTTACCTTCGTCTTTATAATTCTTTCTTCCAATTAATAAAATTCAAAAAGACAAGGAAACTACCCCTTCTGCTTGACTTTCTGTCCGTCTCTCCAATGACGATTTTGGCCTTGTTTTCGAACACATGGATCTTTTCTATATCTTTTTATATGGTGGCCTTCTCGGCCACTCCAGCATCATCCTGTATATGCTTAAATCATGGTTATATTAATTTCTTTCCAAAAGGTGGACATCTCAATTCTGTGATTGCTAGGACCATTCAATAAATGTTATGTGTGGAATTTTTTTGTAATGTGGCAATGTTTGTGATGAAACAGGGAATCCTAGCTAATGTTTGATGGCTCCACATTTGCATAAATATCAACACTGGATGCATCTTTCTTACACTTGGTGTTTTTGTACTGTGAGAACTGAGTGGACTGGACCTCAAATTAGGCATATTTGAAGAAACCAATTAAGCATTGTCCTATATGAAATTTGACCTGACAGTCACTTCCTGCTGGTGAATTAGCCAAATAAATATTTAGCATAATTTTTCCGCATAATTTGCAAGATGTTTCTACTTTTTATATGACAGTATTTCTTTCCATCTTAATTTAAATTCATGTTTTCATTTTAATTTTCAAGGTTTATAGCATCTTGAAAGATGTTAGCCCAACGATTCTTCAAGCAGTTCTCAGAAGGAAAAATTCAATCTTTCTCAGCTCGATGCTTGTGACTCCAAATAGTCATCGAGTGAGAGAATTTGGGCATCGTATAACTTTGGTAAGTGAATTATAACTCTCCACCTGCTCTTGTACAATTGGCAAACTCCATTGTTTTGTTCCACTCTTTTATATTTCTTAGTAATTACATGCTATTTTTGGGCTAACCTCTTAGGATGAAAGTACAAGGATGTATAGAAAGCTGCTTGATTTCAGAGGTACACCAAATGAATTGGGTGCTCGTGTTCTTGACCGTTATAAAATTTCCAAGGCAAGAATATTGATCGTCTTCTTTGTCTTCTCTCAGCACACTCCCATACCTTTTCAAAGAAATTATTTATGTTTTTGAACTTCTTTTGCTGCAGATACGAGCTGAAAAATTGTCACCCATGCATAGGATATATTCTGAAAATAAATCAACAAGTGATGCTTCCAATACATCTGGTCTGAAACACATAAAAGAACTTCTACTTGGAAAACGGACAAATCATGCTTTCCGCATGGTGGTCGTTGGGGATTCCCATATAAAGGTGGATGAAATTGGCGTGCCAGTTCAAATTGCAGGGAACCTGTTGGTACAAGACCATTTAAATGTGTGGAATTGGGATAGACTAGAACCTTGCTGCGATTTTTTGCTTTATCAAAAGGGTGAAATTTCTGTTCTTAGAAATGGTAAGAAACTTTGTATTAGGTCCAAGTACTCACTGGAGGGAGGAGATATTATATACCGGCCTCTCATTGATGGAGATATTTTGTTGATTAATAGGCCTCCATCTATTCACCAGCATTCCCTTATAGCTGTATATGTCAAAATTCTTCCAGCAAATTCGGTCTTCTCTGTCAATCCTATTATTTGTTCCCCACTTCGAGGAGACTTTGATGGAGATTGTCTTCATGGTTATGTTCCTCAATCAGTAGATTCTAGAGTAGAGTTAAATGAACTTGTTGGTCTGGATAAACAACTGATCAATGGACAGAGTGGTCATAACCTCTTGTCGCTTAGTCATGATAGTTTAACTGCAGCACATTTAATTCTCGAGGATGGGGTTTTTCTGAATAAATCTGAAATGCAGCAGCTGCAAATGTTTTGTCATCATCAGTTGCAATTGCCAGAATCAGCTTCATCGGAGACTTCTTTGTGGACCGGAAAACAATTATTTAGCTCGCTTTTACCTTCAGATTTTGAATATGTTTATCCGTCTAACAATGTCCATATCAGTAGAGGGGAGCTTATAACATCTCCTAACGGTTCTTCATGGCTACGTGACAGTAAAGACAACCTGTTCGACTGTCTTATCAGATATGGCCGATATGAAACTCTTGACTTCCTGTTTGCTGCGCAGGAAGTTCTTTGTGAGTGGTTGTCAAAGAGGGGATTGAGTGTTTCATTGGCAGACCTCTGCCTTTCTTCAGATCCATACTCTCAGAAGAATCTTATTGACGAAGTCTCATGTGGTTTGCAAGAAGCAGAGAGGCTATCATATATAAGGTTGCTTATGGTGAGTTATAACAAAGATTTCCTTGTTGAAAGCTCCGAAGAGAATGAAAACGCTGTGAGTTTTGGAAAGAAATACTTGTCTATTGCACAGCAGAAGTCAGCAGCACTTAGTCAAACTTCCATTTCTGCTTTCAAGCAAGTCTTTCGGGATATTCAGAACTTGGTTTATCAATATGGAAGCAGTGATAATTCATTTCTGGCAATGTTGAATGCTGGTAGCAAAGGGAACGTGCAAAAGTTAGTCCAGCATAGCATGTGCCTAGGGTTGCAACATTCTTTGGTTTCTTTATCGTTTCGAATCCCTGATCAGCTCTCTTGTGCTTCATGGAACAACCAAAAGAATTGTGCTGTTCAGAAATCCCATGGAATCCAAGAATATTCTGAGTTGTATATCCCATGTACTGTAGTTGCAAATTCTTTCCGAATGGGCTTAAATCCTCTGGAGTGCTTTGCTCATTCATTGACAACACGTGACAGTTCTTTTAGCGGGCATGCTGATGTTTCTGGGACTATAACTCGTAGGCTCATGTTTTTCATGCGTGATTTAGTCTCTGGATATGATGGAACTGTTAGAAATTCTTATGGGAATCAAATTGTTCAGTTCTCCTATGGTTCTGATGCCGTTTCTACTACCCATAGTGATGCTCTTGATGCCTCGAATGAGAGGCTGTATGCTTGTAATTCGCCAGGTGGTCATCCTGTTGGTTCATTGGCAGCTTGTGCCATTTCAGAGGCTTCATACAGTGCTTTGGATCAACCAGTCAGTGCATTTGAACCATCACCTCTGTTAGCTCTAAAGGTTCTCTCTCCAGCACAACTCTGGCTATACCTCTGTTTTTTGCATTGTGCAAGTATACTGTGTAGGCCAAATGCACTATTTATCACTTAATGTAATCTTATGAGCTTCTTTATGCATATATGTTTGCTGAAACTTCATCAAGTGCTTGGAGAATCTAGAGTTGACTAACTACGTTTCTATTTAGTTTTCTGTTGAGAATGCCTGACAAAATCTTGCCTATTCCAATTTAACCATGCAGAAAGTCTTGGAATGTGGAGTAAAGAAGAGCACTGGTGATAAAAGTTCATCACTTTTTTTGTCCAGAAGACTTGGAAGATGGGCAAATGGTTTTGAATATGGAGCTTTAGAAGTCAAGGATCATTTGGAGAGAGTGCTATTCTCTGATGTAGTGTCAGAAGTAGCAATATTGTAAGTTTTGCCTGTCTACTTTTTGAGCCTTCTATTTTAATATTTTTGGTATTCATATTTATCAAGTATTATTTGAATATTTGAAATGATCTCTTATTTATTTCTTCTGTCTACACTAAGCTTGTCCTCCCAGACCTACATTAGTACGTGGGCTTGTCATTTTCACATAGACAAGGTAATACATTCAAATTAAATACGTTCTACTTTTGGTGTCCATGAATTGCATTCTCAAGTATTTGTGTTCTTTCAGGAAGTTGCAAAGAAGAAACGGCTGAAGTTGCGTAATGTTATTGATGCTCTTTATATGAAGTATGATGCTGCTAGAGTGAAAGCAAAAATGCCAAACTTGAAGATAATAAGCAAGTAAGATGCATCTGGAAAAAAGGCCCATCTGTATTAGTTGCAACATGTCTTCCATATGCTGAGGAAATTTTCTGTATATATAAAGAAAAAAGAGAGAATAAGTCTTAAGAGTTGCTTGACAGTAGTCCTTTATTTATCCGATAATTTTCTTTGTTTTAGCCTTATGACATACTTCTGATCTTGGCACTCAATTGGCAGGGGCTGTTCCGAAGCTGACCTGAAATATGGAACTGGCACAAAAATTTGCATCACAGTTGCATTAACTGAAAGCGCCAGTAATTTGGAAGTAGAACTGGGTACTCTTCGTGAAATGATTATACCGGTCCTTCTTCAAACTGTTATAAAAGGTTTGTATCCGATTGCTAAAATCCGCAAGTTCCTGGTGTCGTAGCCAAGTAATAAAATATGAATAAGATATCGTTCCCTCGAAGACCAAGTACTTAATCTAGTTTTAATTAATACTAACTCTAATCGAATTAACAAATTGTGATTGATTGATTTTTATAACTAGCTATCTAAACTAATCTAACGAGCAACTTAGAAGCGTTTGAAAAGTCAATTAAAAGCAAGCACTAAGACATCGAACCCCCTTTATTAATTCTTTTTAACACAACTCAAGACAATTGACATTTATTTAACCTTGACGTCAATTGTTCCTATTTTGTTCAATAATTTCTTTTGAGTAGAATTAAATTTATCCTCACGTGTGACTTTCCAATATTTTTATAAAAGATGCGAACATGCAACGATGCATTAGAACATAAGAACATCAATTCAATCATGCAAGACATAGCAATATATCTCTATTTGATATGGACCTTACAATGATTGTTATCGCATGCTATATTTCTTATTCTTTTTCTCGAATAAAATAAATATTATACATTAAACATTATAATAACATTTAAGATAAACAATATTTAATGTTGAAGTCTTGAAATTAATATTAGAACTTAATAACAATGGGTTCATCTAAGTCCTTATGACTAAAAGTTTAGTTGAGCATTACATTACAAAATTATAAGAATTCATGCTTGAATTAGGATACATCACCCGAATTTTAGATGTATGAAGAAAAAGAGGAAAAGCCACGAGTTCTTGAATCTCTTTAATCTTTCTTGAACAAACTCATGTTACACCCTCTTCTTCTTTGCTCAAAACCCAAGGAAGTCTTCAATTTGCATATAACAATGAAGAATTCTTGTTTCTTGCCTCTTGTTCTCTCTCATGCTTCATCTCCCGAAATTGTGCCTCTAAGTAGTTAAAAATGTGTTATAATTGCGTTTCATAAAGAGTTGGTGTTAAAGAAGGAAACAAAATTTTTGCTGACGATTTGAACCATGCAATTACACAGTTATTCCGTTTTGCTAACTTGAATTGTTTGGACTTACCTTGCTATCACAAGGTAGTACTTTTGTTCTATCTCCACTTTGGTCTATGATTTCTTCATCTTGGATCCTCTTTTGTGTTTTCCACGAGTAATATAACTCCCAATTTCATCCAATTTGATCCATGTAATCTTCGATTGTCCATTCGTGATCTGAATCAACTTTTGAAAATTTACAATTTGGTCCCTAGACCTTACAATTCTTCCCTTTTCACCCTCTTTGGCTTATTTTTACTTCTTTTCATCAATAGCCATCCACACTCGAGTTTATCCTACAACAATCGTTATTTAACCAAATTAAGTAGTAATTCCATGAAATTGACTCCCAAATATCTATTTTTGATTGTCCTGATATATATCGAACATGATAATTTCTTGTTGCTTCTGATGTTATCTGTTACATCTATTGATTTGTATAGTTTTCATTCTGAAAGACTTCCTTTATTAGAATTAGGTTGTTTTTTACTACCTTAAAGGTTGCTTGTTAAGTGGAATTTTTCTTTTAGTTTGGCTAGAAAAGGTGCACCTGCAATTTCCTTAATCGCAACCTATGAACAGGAAGGGTGGGAAACTTTGAAAGACACATACCATATCCACCTGATTTATCTGTATGACTATTGCCGACTATATTTTGAAGTTCATTACAAATTAGAAGGAAATTGGAAGTGTTTCTGAAAGTAATAGACAAATTAAGAGACAGCTTATATATATCTATTTATGCCTTGTGAAATAGTTTGCCTGGATACATTTAGGACTCAGACCAATTAACGGTTTATAAATCATCTTCCAGATTTCTAATTTAAGAAGATACTTCCTAGGCCAGGTAGCTTTCTGTCCGTCCTGCTTGGGACATATCTTGGAGGTTGGAGTAACGTGTACAATGATAAATATATTTGATTGACTTGAAATTTATCTATATTTTTTATTGTGGAAAATCTTGAACATGGAGGAATTTAGAAATTAGGAAGAGAAGTACAAGGTATCATATGGAGGGACTCTATTTTTCTTCTTAATTTTTGTATATACTTTTATAGAAAATATTTAAGTTCTACAAACACATGGTGCCATGTAAGAGGAACCCTCACAGGTATTTCAATCTTTCCAACTTGTTATTTAGGATTCCCCGAATTCAAGAAGGTTGATATCTTATGGAGAGAGAGACCAAATCGTTCAAAATTTCCAAAGGGCTCTTCAGGTGAAGTTTATTTGCGTATTTTCATGTCAGAACACTGTGATAGGACTAAATTCTGGAGCATCCTCAACGATAAGTGCTACCGAATAAGAAATATAATTGACTGGGAGCGCAGTCATCCGGATGATATTCATGACATCAGTCAGTTCTATGGGATAGATGTAGCATGGAAGTACTTTGTCAATGTGAGTTTTCTTTCTTACCCACATTCCTTTTAATTGCACATAGGCATTCCATTGATTGCATGTTTGGCAAAGCTTAAATTATAATTTAGGCCGGTCAAACACGCTTTTTATCCACACATTCTATTGGCTCACAACTTAACTCATTTTTTATCCTTACAATGTGTGACCTGCTGCTGAAATTTTAATTTAAGAACTCCCAAACAAGCAATGAATCTGATAATGCATCTTCAAATGCAGAGTTTGAATTCTGCAATCTGTGATACTGGCAAGACCATCCTTCCGGATCATTTAGTTGTCACCGCTAATTGTCTTTCGGCTACAGGGGAATTTGTGGCCTTAAATGCCAAAGGACTTGCACAGCAAAGGAAGGAAACTTCCATTTCTTCGCCCTTTTCACAAGCATGCCATCTGGTTTGTAGTCATATAAAGCTATAGCCCTCTATTTGTTCTCCATCATTGTTTTTCACATTGGAGGAAATTATGTTGCTCATGTTTTCTGCACTTCTGATTTTGTCACAGAATCCTAGTGATTGCTTCGTTAAAGCTGCTAAGACTGGACAAACAGATGGTCTTCAAGGGAGTCTTGAGGCATTGGCATGGGGACAAACTCCCTCGATTGGAACTGGTTGTCATTTTGATGTTATATATAATGGGAAGGTAAACAAAATGTACTCAATACTGTGTCAATGTTAATTCGTTACAGATACTTTTTTGGATTGAATTTACGATAAGCATATCATTTCACAAAGTTATAAAGATTTCTTTATCATACGCATCCATACATAGATCAGACTATTGCATTGTTGAAGGTGATTACTCCTTTGGTTTAACGGTTTCTACTTCATCGTGCATCAGGGACATGAACTTGCTGAGCCTGTAGATGTATATACTCTGCTGAGTACCCATGTCGGTTCTACTAAACAGAAAGAGAAAATTAAGTTACCAGTGAAGCAAAAAGAAACACCAGGAAAATCTGTCACCGACTGTCTATTGAAAGGAAAGGGCCTTAAAAATTTGACAAAAGATACATACTCACAATATATCTTACTGGATGACATACACAGGATTTCACGGGCATTGCAGCGTATACTACATGAGTACGTAAATCCATTTATTTTTTTTTTTCATTTTTTAACTTAGTGAATCACATGGTTAATGGTTGCAAGTCCAACATTTGCGTAACCTGTTGATATGCATTCTTGTTAAAGCAATCAGTCCTTGTTAATTACATCTCAGCTTACAGATTCGCTTGCCAAACATGGAATTTCTCAACACTATGCATGAATATAGATGAACCCAAAATCTACAACTGCTATAGCCTTTGTTATGTCTGTATCATGAAGTATATTAATTGGATTTTATTGAGTTTGCTTTGAGTTTTAATTAACGTGAGAGTTGAGACCCTATAATATGCTATTCCTTCTAGCTGCGAGTGTATTTATTTTCCATTGGTGGTGTAGGTACCCTATTGATCACCTGTTAACTGGAGAAGATAAGTCTGCTGCAATGAAGGCTCTACAGTTTCATCCTCGATTCAAAGAGAAGATTGGAACTGGTGCTATGGAGATAAAGGTACATTCCACACATTAATATTATATAAAGAAGCGCTGGATTGAAAGGGAAGATCAAAAATTTTGTCTCATCTTTTCCTTTTGTTTCAGATTGGCCGTCATCCAAAACACGTGGGATCGCGCTGCTTTGTACTGATAAGGACGGATGGAACAGTGGAAGACTTCTCATATCACAAATGCATTCATCACGCTATTGAGATGATCACTCCTCAGAAGGCAAAAGCTTATCATTCAAGATGGCTGAATGGAGCAATACGCTCTGAAAACCGCAAGGACGAACCCTGTTAAATTTCATGGCTCAGCTAGAAAAGAAAGGGAAAAACGAAGGTAGTTTTTAAGTTTTAATTAAGAGGAGCATATGACATTTTATTTTTCTAATTTTAGCTTTTGATCATAATGTAAGTTGGATAACCCAAGCTTCTTTTTGCTGCTTCCGCTAAAGTTTCTTTGCCCTAGAGAAAGGTGAAGGAGATTTAGCGGAAGTAGCAACGAGAAAGCTTTCACGGGTTATCCCTTTTCATGTTGTATCATCGTTCTATACTATTAATCACTCCTCGTCTTTGTATCGCATACTATTTCTTACTTGCTAAAGACAGTACTCTCTTGATCTAAGTTAGTTAATTTCATTGAACATTCAATGGAATTTCTTATAATTGTTCAGATGCCATTTTTTACCCATGTATTGGTCTTCCAATGTGCTAGAGAGATATCATGCATGGAGTGATATAAGTCGTGGATCCATGGAATGTTTAAATTATAAATGAATAGTAATTGTGTGGATAAAAATATGTTTGACTAGGATCTGGACTTGGGCTTTTGATTGGACTGAGACTGGCTATCCCGAAAGTTTAGAGGAAATTAGGCTATATACCCTAAATATAAGACTCTTGTGAAAAATCATTTGAAAGGTAAGTACAAAGTAAAAAATTCATTATCTTTTCATCAATTTTTAAAAGTAAACCCTAATGGTTTTATTTCATACCCCCCCCCCCCCCCCCCCCCCCCCCCCCCCCCCCCTTTTCCCCCCCCCCCCCCCC